AGAGTTAAAAAGACGCTTAACTTCTCGCTCTTTACTTTTTTTTTTTTTTTTGATTACAGCAATGAGATATAAATTTATTTTGTCATTCTCTCGATCCTATTATTAGAATCCAGTTTTTTCTTAAAAAAAAGTATAATTGATAAATGTGACGTATCAAACTCATATCTTATCTATCTCTTTCAGGTCAGTTTTTCAGACAAAAAAAAGAGAAAAAAAAGTTAGTTGGAAGAATAAGACATATTATTTTAAAGTGTTAGAACTTATAATTATGTATATAATGGGAAAATAAGAAAAGCAAATAAAATTGTATTGTGAATGAGAAGGGTAGGGCAATGGAATTATTCAAGGAAATAGCCAAACCCATCTCACAAGTTTTGGAATTTGGCATAGTAAACAGCTGGAGCCTTATAGGCTCATGGGATTGGGTTGGGAAGTATCCAATCATCCATATTTCTTGACTTTACCATATATCTCTTTCAATTATTAGCCCTCTTCAATATTTAATTTGACTTGGTAGTGCTTTTGGTTTAAATATTATTTAGTAAATTACACTTCGTTCATTTTGTTTCAGATTCATTTTAATTCATGTACTTTTACATTTGACACGGTAAAATGTCTGTTTTGGTCTTGCACTTTTAAAGAAGTAACTATTTTGGTCTTTAGCTTCAAAATATCAATACAAATTCTATACATAATGGAAACCTTTTAATACAAACATATTGCTACATTTTAAGAAATTGTAGTGTCGTATTGAAATTGTAATAGAAAAAAATTAGATAAAAAAAATGAAATGAAATGACAAAAACTATCACTTTTTAAAATTATAAGGACCAATACGAATTTTTTGAAAATATATGGGTTGGAGTAAAACAAAATCTGAAAGTACAGAACGAAAATAGCATCTAAACCTCTTATTTTTCTCTCCCAATCCACTTGATAATAGTAATTGGTTTGTCACTTTATATATGTTAATCGTTGATTTCATAGATGATGGTTGATTTTGATATTGATCGAGATATATCACATAATATTCACTAATTGATTAATTAAATTTAGCAACTACCCATGAAATGATATCGCACTACTAAGGTATCAATTTGGTTTTTCATTTATTACTACATTGGTGTTTTAGAGTGTGTTTGAGAAGCCTTTTAACTATAAGTATAATTTATTTTTTCTCTTAGTTCAATACTATTTGGGATATTCAATATTCAGATCATGATTTTAACATCTTATCCACTTGAGTTAGCTTCGTGTTGACAACTTTTTATTATTATTCATGAGATTACTCTTGAGTTCCAAATTGAAATTTTATCTCATTTATTTTATTAATTTATTTATATTTTTTGAAAGTCAATTTTATCTCATTTATTGGCATGTATCACACATTCAAATATTAAATTTGGTAGGTGAAAGAAAGTACTCGTTTCGACATTTTTTTTTAATTTTTAAATACAAACTATACTCTTGTTTTTAGGTAATTACAAAAAGTTTGTTATAGCTGATTATTTTGTCTCGTGGTTTGGTTCTAAAGTAAACTTTTATTTAATTATTCGTTGATTTTGTTTTCAATTAATCATTTTTTACCTGTCACGACGTGAGAAAACTGTGGTTTGGTTTTTCCTTCAAAATTATTGTTCGCACTTATTAATCAATAATACATTCAAAATTCGTTACTCAAATTTATATATTTATTTCAATACAAAAATGAAAAATAAGTAAAAGAAAAAAAAAGAAAAATAATAAAATACTATTTTTCTCTAGGTACTTTTGGCTGATTCCTATACTGTCAATTTTAGGTACTTTGGGCCGATCCCTATACTATCAATTTTTGTTTATTTTAGTTAATATAATTTTAAAGCATCCATTTTGGTTAATGTTTTTTTTTAAATTGACTATTTTAATCTATATTTATAAAATTTTAGTGCAAATGTCGTATACAATAGAAACTCTTTAGTACAAATTTATAGATTCATTTCAAAAAATATATCCTAAAATTTAGATCGAAAAAGTAAATCAACAAAAAAATAAAAAAATATTTAAAAAGATGAAGAAAGATTTTTTTTGAAAAAATGGGTGTTGCTGAGGTGTACCTCGTACGTTAGAAACTTGATGGCTATGGGTCCACGAAAGCAAGGGAATGCCAGCATGGCAGGGGAATGAAGGCCAGCTGGCAGGGAAATGAAATGTTGGTGAAAATAATTGAAGAGGGAATTTTGATTGGATGAGAGTGGCATATTAGGACAGGGAAACAACAGCCTGTCTGGGAATGGCGGCAGCATAATCACATGTCTTTATTTTATTTTTTATATAAATAATAGATTAAAATATATTTAAATCCACGTACTTTATTTATTTTGGTCTCTGTGTACCTGTGGGTTATAACTTTAGTTTATTTTATTTACTATATTTTCCAAACCTTCATTTTAGCACTATATTTTAAAAGCTGACAACTTTAATTTATATTTGTAAGCTTTTAACACGAATTATCTAATGAAACTCTTAAATAAAAAATGAAGGTGCAAAAACTGTCATTTTTTAAAAATATAGTGACTAAAATAGACATTTCAAAGTATGTGTACTAAAATAACTAGAAATTTGAAAGTACAGTATATGAACTAAAATAAAATAAAAAATTGAAAGTACAATAATCAAAATAGACGTTTTGAAATAAGAAACAAAACGAAGCAAATCAATATTTTATGGACAAAAATAGTATTTAAATTTAAATAATAAATAAAAAGTTTTTCTTTTAGGAAAAAGAGTGACAGCTGGCGAAAGAAGCAACACGACACGCAACCATCTCGAGGAGTTAGACATTTCATTTTCCCACAAAGTTTCTTGTTTTCTAATTTTTTTTTTCCTTTTTCTTTTCGTTGTCTGTCTATTGCCCTTTTTATTGTTCCATTGGAATCTCCCTCTCTCCTCAATAATGTCATTTTTTAAAATATTAGAAAAATTATTAGGGTTTAAGGAATTCTAATATAAATGGAAAGCAAATGTTAATTTTTAAAAAAAGCAGGTTATCGTTCAAATTTATAATTTTTGAGACATATTTGTTTTGATTAGTTGAACTATGTTATATGTTGAGGATATTTTTTTTAAAAAAAACAATTGTTTTGGTTCTTGAATTTTCAAGATGTTTATTTTTATTTTTAAATTTTCAAAAAGTAGTCATCCTAAACTAACTTACGTGGCTTCGATAAATACCTACATCAACATGTTAATATTCAAATTCTATTGTTTACATGTGGTAAAAATTTGAGGATCAAAATGAAATAAACTTAATTTTGACACTTTAAAAGTTCAATAAATGAGATTCAAACCTAAATTTATTATTTAAAACACGAATAAATAGATTCTTACAATATGAATGATCACGTAGTTGCACTCAAATTCATTAAATACAATTATACTAATTTCAATAATATTATATTTAAATAATTAATATGAGTCATATTTACATTTGACTTTTTTTAAGAACTACAATTATATAAATGTTAGGACAAAAACCTAACAAAAAAAAAATAATAACTTGAACAATTAAAATAGTTAAGATATTAATAATTTTTATTAAAAATCAATATATATTATTTTATTTATTCATTGGAAAGAATTGTCTTTTTGTTAGAAATAAAAAAAATAGAAAATTATTTGAATTGGTGATGTAACATCATTTACTATTTTTATAATTTTATGTCATATTTTGTATTATTACTTTTACAATAGGGAATAAATGTGAAAGTATCAACTACTTTTCCTTGTGTAAAAATTTCATCTTAGCCATTAGTTTTCCAATCCTGAAGTCAAACCAATAATTTCTTAGTTACAAATATGTGAAGAGAATGGACTACCCCACAGCGGAATTTATTGGAAGTTGAAAAATGAAAATTAATTTTTAAATGCCATTACTAGATTGGGGAGCATATAGTAAATTATTTTCAAATATAATAAAAAATTTATAATTTTACAAAAATAACGTCATTCAAATCAAATTTGATCTCAAATATAGTATAAAATGCATTTAGAGAAATTGAAATTATGCTATATTAGAAAAAACGAAAAAATTATGGTATTTTTTAAAATAAAAATTAGCTATATGAAGTGAAAATTTTCTCAAGAATTTTATAGGTTGAAATATAATAATAATAATTGTTTAATTATAACCTTAGACTTTGATTTTTTTTAATTTTAATTTAGAGATAATTTTTTATGTTGAGTAAGGCAGTAATATTTAAACAAATTGAGTTACACTCATGCGCTAATTCTTACTATAAATATTAGATTTAAATACTATTTTGGTTCATTTATTTTCGGCTTCTGTTCATTTTTATCCATGTAATTTTAAATTTTCGTACCTATAAAAAGTTACCATTTTGATCATTCGTTTAAATTTTTATCTTATTATTTTCAATTACAATTTTAGCATGACACATCAGTCACAAAATTTCTTAAAATATAGCTATAGATTTGTATTAGGATAAAAATTGTCACTCTTTAAAAGTACCTGAATCAATATTGATGCTTTGAAAGTATAAAAATTAAATGAATCAAAATTAATAATATATAAATCAAAATAGACATTTACATGAACCATAATGAACTAAACTCGAAAACACACCCTAAAAAATAGGACGTAAACTTAAGAATGACGTGACATATCAATTAAATAAATTTTAGGGGCCATTAAAGATTGAAGCAATAGTTACCGAACCTAAAGAAAAATTCACATAATAAATGGCCATAATTGTCGTTTCAGGACTTCACACGTCTCAGAAATATTTAACATTATAATAAATTTTCTACAATAAATTCGAATAAACCCAAAATTCAAAATTAAAAAGAAAACGAAGGGGGTATAAATGTAACTTCAATATAAAGCGGCATTTTTAAATTGTAAATTTAATTAACGAGATATAATTAAGATCAAACTAATTATAATTACGCGCTTAAGCCAATATAAATACGCCTCTCAGCTCAGCTTCCTTTCAAAAGAAGCTCACCAGAAAAATCTCTCTCTAATACGGCTGCTTTTGGTCAGCCAACGCGTAAATTTGTTCAGAAAATTCCTTCTCTTCTTCCCGCCGCCCGTTTTTCTCTCTCTACTGCTACATTTTCTCTCTCTAATGAGCTTCATAATTTGTGGGGGATTCATTCGTTCACGGGTTTGAGCTTGATTGATTGCTCTCTGGTTATTATTCAATGGCGAAGAAGAACAGTAATTCCAAGAAGCAGTGTTACATTTCGGTTCCTTCTCAAATCATCAACTCTCTCTCTTCCTCTTCTCTTCAGTCGCTTCTTGATTCGCCTAAGAAGTCTTCTAAAGCTTACAACAAGTACCTGAGTATTTCCACTTACAGAACCTCCAAGCTATGGCTTCTCGTGATTTTTATCTTCGGCCTTCTTGGCATGTTGAAGCTGACTTTTGATCTCGGTCCTTTAATCGCGTATGTTTCGTACCCATGTTTCACGTCTCAGTCATCGCAGGGTTTAGTCTCGAATGGGGGCTTGAAATCTGGAGTAATCGAGAGAGGGAGAGAAAATGCTCTGAAGGATGAGGTTGTGAACGATTCCGTTCAATCGCTTCCGCCGATTCCCAATGGAGTTTTGAAATCGGAGGAGAGTTTTGGATGGGAAAACAAGAAGCAGGAGTTCTGGAAGCAACCTGATGGATTGGGGTACAGGCCGTGCTTGGATTTCAGCCAAGAATATCAGAAAGCAACCGCCGGAATCGTACATGAGAGGACCAAGTATCTGATGGTGGTGGTTTCCGGCGGGATGAATCAACAGAGGAATCAGATCGTCGACGCTGTTGTGATTGCTAGAATCCTCGGCGCTGCTCTGGTTGTTCCAATCTTGCAAGTGAACGTCATCTGGGGAGACGAAAGGTATAAGAACACGGCGAACATATCGATTAGAAGTGGAAATGCATTTTCTGTCTTTGATTGATTGAGTCTCGAACTGAAACATAATGTCTGTTTCCTTTTATTTCAGTTTCTAAGTTTATTTTTCTATGTTCTGTTTGATGGTTTGCAGTGAGTTTTCTGATATATTTGATTTGGAGCATTTCAAGAATGCTCTGGCGAATGATGTTCATATAGTTTCATCTCTTCCTTCGACGCACCTGATGACTCGGCCTGTTGAGGAAAAATCGACACCTCATCACGTCTCGCCGACTTGGATTCGGTCCCGTTACCTCAAAAAGGTAAAGGATGATCAAAGGAATTTTTGGTGCTTGTTCTTCTAGCTGTCATGGCTTCTGTTTGAAGCTCGCTGCTATAAAAATGGCAGCCTTCTTGATTGATAGGAAAGGAATCTGTTGATAACTGCCCTGCAAGTTTTCATTATATCCTAACAAATAATTTACTCCTTATTCTTCACAAAGCATATCTGAATATTGGTTTTGAATGTGTCACACACGTCTGAACTAAGTAATAACACATTTTGCTGCTTGCTGAAGACCTTTGAAACTGCCCATATTGCCATAATAGGTACTTTAAATGTAACCATTAAACTCAAAACCTTAAACTTAAAGCTCGAAGGTCTTCTTAATACATTCTTAACACTCCCGTTTAAATGTGGGTTGAGATATTCATTAGAATTATTAAGCTCAACATGGGACTATTATGGAGAGCGAATGATATTATAGAAGTTCAAATACAGTACCGCCTACTCTAATAGTACGTTAAAACGTAAAGTAATTACTAGAGCTGTTGGTTTGATTGGTGGTTTTAACTACACATGTGTCCCTATGTGTCTGTCTGTTAAGGTTGACCCAACTACTACATATTACCAACTGAAAGCTTTTGTGGCATTTTTTTGTCGTTGTTATGCTGTTTCTTACCAACCGAAACCTTTTACTGCTGAACAATGTTTCGGTTAGTAAATAGCTTGATGATACTAAGTTGTGTCTGTTGAATTTTGCAGCTGAGGAGAGAAGGAGTACTGCTACTGCGCGGCTTGGACTCGAGGCTTTCTAAGGATCTTCCTTCTGATCTTCAAAAGCTCAGATGCAAGGTATTATAGGCTTTTACATCTTGTTATAACTCTTTTTTCTCTCTTTATTATTTGCTTGTTGCTTTGATACAATCAATTGCCGCTTTTGATACATATTTGTACATTCATTTCGAGTCCTTTATCTTTATTGAAACATATGAGATCTTTTGCTGCTGCTTTATAAGTCATTTTGCCATGGTTAATTCTGATGAGATGCTGGGAATATGTGTAAATTGTTGTTCTTCTTCCTCTTTGGGCTTCAGGTTGCTTTTCACGCCTTGAGGTTCGCCCCACCAATTGTGGAACTCGGTAACAAGCTCACTGAGAGAATGCGAAGCAAAGGACCGTACCTTGCTCTTCACCTACGAATGGAGAAGGATGTCTGGGTGAGGACCGGTTGTCTACCTGGTTTGAGCCCGGAATATGATGAAATGATAAACAACGAAAGAATACAGCGTCCTGAACTCTTAACCGGTAGATCAAACATGAGCTACCATGACCGAAAACTTGCAGGCCTTTGCCCCCTAAATGCCTATGAGGTTATGAGGTAAAGTTTCTTAACTATATACTCAGTCTTGTTAATCATTTACAGTTACGGTTCTGCTTGACTAAATTTCACGGCTCATTCAGGTTACTGAAAGCACTCGGAGCTCCAAGAGATACGAGAATATACTGGGCCGGAGGGCAACCGCTCGGAGGAAAAGAAGCCCTGCAACCATTAACAAGAGAATTCCCAAATTTCTACAACAAGGAAGATCTCGCTTTGCCAAGCGAACTCGAACCTTTCGCGAAGAAAGCTTCCTTCATGGCTGCTATTGACTATATTGTTTGTGAGAGCAGTGATGTTTTCATGCCTTCTCATGGAGGAAATATGGGCCATGCTATTCAGGTATATTCTCCTTTAGTTTGTCGAACCAGCCAATTCGTCTTTTTCGCTCTCGTCGTGTAAAATCTTTTGCCTCTTGAGCCTGATCGTATCATATATTGAAGAATAGTCTCTACTCTCTAGCATGACGAAACACTACATAAGATCATAACGAGTCGATTGTTCGTTTTATTACAGGGACACAGGGCTTATGCTGGACACAAGAAGTATATAACACCAAACAAAAGGCACATGCTTCCCCTTTTCTTGGACTCCTCACTCCCTGAAGCAGACTTCAACAGGCTCATCAGGGAGCTGCACCAGGACTCCCTCGGTCAGCCCGAACTTCGAACCAGCAAAGTTGGGCGAGACGTCACCAAGTACCCTATTCCCGAATGCATGTGCAACAACACCTCTGATGCTCGTACAATATAAGTCAACAACTCATCAGTGGTGCCAACATAGCAAAAAGCCTTAAAGAACCAAAGTTCGAGTCAGTAAAAACTCAGAGATCCTCAGATCGATCCTTGAAGTCGAGCCCTTGTTAGAACCATGAGCTGATGTTGTCTCGGGGCAACGAAGTTCTGCAGGATGAACATATTGAAAGAGTAAGAGTGACTGCAGGCGGCAATCAGATCAAAATATGCAGCAGTAAACTGAAGAATGCAGGCCAAGGTTATGTGTAAATGAGTGATAAAGATGTCTACATATTTATACATATATATGATAAGAGAAATAAAGGGAAGGGAACAGCATAAAATTTGTATAATTCTTTGATTCTTTAAAGAATAAGTTCTTGTAGTTAGATATTTTATTGTAAACACCCAATTTTTTTGTATGAAATGATTCATTGTTATAATGATATATTAAGAATATTTACTCCTAAATTCTGAGTCTTGCTTCTTAGCATCCAAGCTGGTCAAATTTGTTGCATCTACAACTACAAGGATTCTTTTCCCTCCTTTTGCTTTGAATTCAAGCGCTCTATTTTTTGTTTATTTTTATTTTTCTAATATCGTCCCAGATTATCCTCACTTCGACTAATTTCAAGAGGTAGCTGTCCGATCCTACAACATTTGTTGTGAGAAACATATAGAAATTAATTCTTAAAGTTGTTGCTCTGTTCAAAACACGTCAACTAAAAAAATAAAAAATTAAGTGTAAATTTGAAACTTCTAAAATATTAGGACATGGCCGTTGATTATGAATAATTTATTTGGTTTCAATTCTACCCATAACTCATGCAAGTGGTTCAACTTTGCCCTTAGACTTTATTTCAATTATAATGAAAACTTACCTTTTTTAGGGTTGAGATTTCGAACTCATGACCTCTTCGTCGGAAGAGATATGTGTCAATTACCGTTAAACTATACTCACTTTAACAATAATGAAAAATTACTAATAGTAACGGATCAAATTAAAAAAAATTAGAAGTAGAATTGAAACTTTAAAAACATTAATAATAAAATTGAAACGGTATAAATCAGTTTAACCTTCTTATTTTATTTAAGCAAGCGTATGAGTAATTATTCACTCTTTCATATTAGTTATTACTAACTTTTAAGCAAGATATTAAATTTTTGTCAATGCATCAATCCACCTTTTACCTTTCTATTATTTCATAAGAGAAAATATTTTACATTTCAATATCCATGAGTTAGACGTGGACGTGAAGTTCTAATATAGCAAAAACAGAGATAAAATGTAAAAAATATCAGTAATATAAACGTAATATTTGCCTTAATTTTTTTTTCCAAGTTTTAACTTAAAAGTGTTTACGTAAAACTAAACAAATTTTAGAAGGAACAAAATCTGGTATTTTCTGTTTCTCATATTTAAGAAACTCCCCCCATAAGGTTAAGTTTGTAATTTGACTTATTTCCCTTCCCTTTAAAAGAAGGGCATTTTGCCCTAACAAGTTGTCGCAGGGCATTTCAATTTTCACCCAATTTTGAATTTCCCATTAAAATTTCTCAATCTGCCATTTTCACTTTCGTTATTCTTCGTACAGTACAGTGATTCTTCGAAAGCCGAGAGAAATGCCACTGAAGCTACTGGACGCCAACCCCTCCAATTTCAATGCTGTATTCGACAAATTCCGATCGGAACTGCCAAACAACAAGGCTAATTTCATCCTCTTCTTGGCTGACAACGACCCTTCCACCTCTCTCAGCTGGTGCCCTGGTATTGGAATTCTGTTTCAATTTCTTTGTTTTTTCCCCGCTTTTTCTCTTACTTTTGAACAAATTTTGTGGATGCTGTGATTACCCATCTTGACAGGACAATTGGATACCGTAAACGTTACGTTATCGCTGTTTTGTCGCAGTTTTTTTTTTTCTTTTCATAGAAATTTGTTATAATTTGCTTACGTTTTGTTTTCATGTGCGAGTTTCCCTTGGAATATTTTGGAAATAATTGTAGCATGTGTTTGCAGTCCTCAAGTTTTCCAAATCTATTGGAGTGGGATAATGTTATATATATATGTATATTATATAGACCGCATGCTACGCAAGAGACAAGTTGTTGAGTATATTTCTGTTTTAAGTTATCTGTCTCGTAGTCTATCAATGAAAATCAACGAAAATTATTTGAAGAAATTAATTAGTTGAAAAGATTATTTATATGAATGGATTCTTGTATTTGATTTATGAGATTCTGTATCATGGACCTGATACTGAGAATCAAATTTTGGAGATCTCAAGTGAACCAGGAAGTCCCTTTTTCAAGTTTCTTACCTTATGAAGTATCCTGAAGTAACCAGTTCCCAATATGATCTTTGCATGTGTGATGCAATGTCTAGATGGAAAAATTACAATGATATTTGGTACATTGTGAGTTTTGATTTAACAATACTAATTTCGTACCTTCGGTGWTAGCTGGTGTATGGCCTCAAACCTGAAAAATCTTGTTTCTGCAGCTTTTATGTGGTCATTCTCTCCATGCTGGAGCCAAAATTAAGTTCTTCAGTATATTGCAGTGAAGGCTATTTGTTAGTTGCTTTGATCAGAGAAAAATCAAGGTTTTTTTTAAGATAGGACTAGAAATTATGAAGAGTTAAAGGAGTTGTGCACTCTTTCAAGCGCCTTGCGTAGCTTCAATATTATTTCGATCAGCGTCAATTGGGATGCTTTTTTGCAAGTTCCTTCGGCCTTTACCATATATTGTCTCCTATGGGGCTTAATAAATTTTCTGGTGTTCCTTATAAAGAAAGATTGCTCTAGTTGATTAATATCTCGTAAGCTTAAAGGTACCGCCACACGACCATGCCTCAAACACTGTTCCAGTAGATGTTCTAACTACTAATCATGGATCACAGAAATCATTGAAACTGAGGATTCTTTTTACAGACTAGTATGATGCTTTGAGTGCCACTGTGATTTTGTGAAACATCATGGAAATAAATATGACCAAATGCTGGACTGAGCTAGTTCACTCCCCGCCTCCCTGAACGAGTCGTCTAAAAAACTCTTAAATTGTTTGCTTTGTGTGTCAGACTGTGTGAGAGCTGAACCAGGCATCTACCGAAAACTGGAAGCAGCATCAGAAGATATTGCACTTCTGAGAGCCTACGTTGGAGATAGACCAACTTGGAGGAATCCCCAGCATCCCTGGAGGGTGGATTCTAGGTTCAAGCTTGCTGGAGTTCCGACGCTGGTCCGATGGGACGAGAATGATAAAATCAGTGGCCGCCTTGAAGATCATGAAGCTCATGTGGAGCAGAAAATTGATGCCCTTATTGCTGGTAAATAAAATGTTACTGTCTGTTCAATAAAATATTGAGGAACTTTATATGTAATATCTCAGTTAGATCGGTAAGGATTATACATTGCTATCCAATAAATTAAACTACATGAGCCTTCAATTGGTAACATCAGATTTACTTGTAATGCAATTCTCCAGAGGTATTATATATTTCTCCTGAAAATTTCTCCATAATCTTTATAAGAGTCATTCGGTAGTGTTCTCATTTTTCGTTTTTTGTTTTTAATATTTAGAAACATGCGCATTTGTGATTGTGTTTTATGTTCTCCACTATGAGAAATGTTATTAAAATGGTATGGAGATGTTTGGATAAATATAAATTAAGTTTTTTGAACTTTCAATTTTATTTAATAGGTCTCCAACCTATTTTGACATTTTCTTTTTTAAACTTACAAATGTATGATACACCAATCTGAGCATAACATATATTATCAACAAAAGA